ATTATATTGTGATCAACAGAAAAAGAAGTTTACTGTAGTACCATAAGGTGGGATGGGGTAAACCTTACAACAAAAAGAATTAATTATTGATTGATCGCAGCGTATTTCAAACAGTTTATTTAAGAAAGGTGATACAAAAATAAACATGTATTTAGATTACACATAAACTTAATATTCACTTGCACGTTGACCTACATTACATTTCATACACACCTAATAAATCAGCTGTTTTTATATGTGCGCATGCATACATATTAAATGAAAAGCATGGACATCTAAACCCCTTAAAACAGTCACCACATTAAACATTACAAGTACTATGAGTTGCATAAGTGTCTGTTATTGCATTTCCTAACACTTACTTTTAATTTCAGTAACGGTAACTGTCGCGTTGCCGAAGAAAAATCTGGTCAAGGATAATTACAAACGTATGACCTGCATAACATTGATGTCGTACAAGTACATTTTCCCAGACTTTTATTAAGACACCTATTTGTATTCTGTAAATTGTTTACTTACAGCATCATCGCCTGCTCCACTACATTTGGACGCTTGCACTTTTTTGTGTTCATTGAAGAAGTTGGTCCTCAGACCTTGTAGCTTCAATTTATTTCGTGGCTGTTAACATTTTGGCGAACACTTCTTTAACGCCTTTTCAAATGGCTTGCATAGCACATGCTCTAGCATGTTTGTTTTTATATTCTGCACTCTTGGTCATATACAAACAGGGCCATCGTTTGATAATTATCAACTAAAGTTTCTACTTGGTCGTGTGACCACGACATGATTGCATACCACACTTGCTAACGAAAGCAAGCACCAGAGACAACTCTATGGAAAGCACCAGCAAATCTTCAACACCAGGTAAACAAATAAACATAACCACACATTTCACAATTCGTTCATGGCTATCATCGCATTGCGCTCACTAGCGCGCAGATTTCGTATAAAATAACCGAATTTTTAGAACAAGTTTTAAAAAAATTTTTACACAAAAAATTTTGTACAAAATTTCACACAAACTAGCGAGAAATTGTGTTTGCATCGACACTAAATAATTTGTCAAAAGTTTTGTCTAAAATTTTGTATAAAATTTAGCGTCGTGTCATACTGGCCTTTAGTGTCAATTCCTATATCAGAGGCTGCTGATTTAAACCATGAAGATACAATGTTCTTACCAACTGGGCTATTCTTGTACCATCCTTTCGAATTGGGTTGACTCCAGTACGGGTTTGGTGTTAAAAATAATCTGTCGGTCTGAATAAGATTTCTCCTTTTTTCCATGATTTCCCCTTTTTTCCATCAACTTCTAAAACAAACGAACCGGACACATTTGTGGATTGTCGAAATTTGTAATCAACCATTTACTATCCGACAGTTTTTTAGAACCATCTTGTGTGGTTTTGGAGAATATTGGATTATATTCTATTCGACCTTTTGGGTTTCCGAAATTATCAGTTCCTTCTTTGAAGTATTGGATACACGCAGAATATCCTTCCCCTCCTCTCCATGCCAGCTCAGTCAGCTTCGCGACTCGGGATAATTTACCAAATATTCGTGCCCTCGAAAAAATTTCCGGAAATAATTTAAGCTCTTGTGATATTATAAGTGACAATTCAATGCGATTATTCAATGACATTTGTCAAACTTCCACCATTGAAATCGGACACGGACGTTCCGGCGCCAGGATTTTCCGGCGCCGCGCTTTCCGACACCGCGCGTTTCGGCGCCGGTACTTTCCGGCTATGCGACTTTATGGCGCCAGGACTTTCCGGCGCTTCCAACGATCCGGCAGACGCACATTGGAACGAAACGGCCAAAAAAGGACTAAAACTGAAGCCGTTATTCCAAAAGGCGTTATTAATATATGTATATAATTATTTATATACTATTATATTAATGATATTGACGAGACCTACAAGATACTTTAAAAGGGAAAAATAATCAGCATAAAAAACTCTTTATCCATTTAAGGGACCTTGTATCTTTTACGGTTTACGAGATCCCCATAGTAAATATAAAGAAACACCCTGTATACATATATAAATGAATATATTATGAATAATTTTACATCAGCCCATAGGTATTGTAATTATGAGAAATTCCCCTCAGGTAGTCGATGTCTTTTTCGCGGCGGTATTCCCTAACCTTGTTGAGGATTCTTTGATCGGCTTCTTCATATTTTCGTCTTTTCCTATTTCCCTCGAACCCTGCGATGAACCTTTCATAATCCGCATCGATAATTTTTTGTAGTTTTCTGATCTGGTCAATGAACTTCCATATTGTTGGATGATGTCCTGAAATACAAGTTACTAATCTTAATTACAATTTACGCTTTCTGAAATTAAAATGACTATCCTGAATTGCATGTGATAATTTCTCAAATTCAATTTACTATTCTGAATTACACTTAACACTTTCTGAAATTCAATTGACTAATCTGAATTACACTTGAAAAAGGTGTAGTCTACAGAGATTTCCCCTGCGCATTACCCCTCGGATTAACTCTATACAACGCACACTTCGTATAAATTATTGTTAAAATTACCAATCTTTATTTTTTCTCTCCTACTTTGACAATGCTAATGTTTAAAAAATGTAAAACTTATGGCAATAAATTATTATTATTATATTATTATTATTACACCTTTTTGTTTGAATCCTGTTCTAACGGCATCGACTTCTTGTTACTTATCTTTTCCCATACTCTGCAACCGTGACTTGCTCGTCTCTTGTAAAATTCAATCGCTTTTGCCAACATAAGTTCCGGTTCTCGTAAGTACTTTTCCTTGATGCTCTCTTCTCTTACCAATTACCAACCGATCTTTAATCATATCTTAATCACTGAAGCCACACGTCTTGTTAAGTGTTTTTATTTCCGTCACAAATTGTTCAAATGACTGGTTCGGTTTTTGGACTGCTGAATAAAACTTATACGGAGTTTTCTCAAATAATGTACTTTATACTATAGGTAATCGATTTTGAATCTATGATTGATCATTAGACCTTAGCGTCTACTTGTTTAGGCGAATAATATCTATCAGTTTCCTTTTCTTCTCACTTCTTTCTTGCTCTTTTGTGTCTGGATCGATTTTTCTCCTTTTTCGAGGATTTCCTTTCTTGGTGAAACCTTTATTAGCAACTGTTTCTTCATTTTTTTCAACTTCATTTGAGCCACAAGGCTGGGGAGATACACCTGCTACTACTTCTTCCTCAACTCCTACATTCCCTTCATCTTGAATGTTCTCTGGAATCCCATCAGCATTGTGTCGATTTTCAAGTAAATTTTCCTGGGAAGCCATATCAGGGTCGACATTAGGTGGCAACAATATAATACGTCCTGGATCTTCTAGTGAATAATACCTCATTATTCGTAATTTTACATGAGGAGTCCACTTTAAGAAATTTGTCTTTTTGGGTAGGGGGTTCAATGTTCGTTAGAGGAGTTAACGTAGTTGACGGGTTGTTCAAGAAATCAGGATCGTCAAGTTCCTGTACAACATGAACATTGTCCCATTCTACTGGTTCTGAGACGGTATTGGCAAGTTCAAGGGTTGTGGGAACTAAAGATACAATTTTTCTTGTTCTATTAGACATGGTTGTTTATTTAGAAATGCCGCCAAATACATAACAAGAACCTTTTTACATTCCGGGGGATACAATGTAAGCACTTACCATGACAGAAAATAATAATCACATAATAAACATGAATGGTAATTAATAATTTAACTTATATATTATATTCACAGAGCAACACAACACAGACACCGAACGCAAATCTCTTACTAGCATTGGAGAAAAATTGCGCACCCCGTTTCCCAACCGAAAGCGCGGTATGTAACATATCCTAAGTGTATCCTTGTCAAGGAGATACGGCATTTCAGCTTGGCACGATGCAGATACATTTGCTCTTAGGAAAGTCAGGCCTTTTTGTAGATACGGCTATTTTAGAAGTTGAATTTCAGCATAAACCATGCCGATACGGTTTTTTGCTTTGGCAAGCACCTAAATTAACTGCTTTAAATGTAGTAGTGCTAAAAACTCAATTTCCGATTTTTTTGTAGATACGGCGTTTGATTTTAGGACGGCAGACTACAAGAAAAATTATACCAGCAACAGTTTGCCTACATCACTTTCACTCCCAGATGTGCTAGGCCCCACGTTGATATTAGATACGGTTACGGTATTATCATCATCATCAAGGAATTTCAAAAGTTCGTAATGTAGGTCTTGGAGGCAAGTCGGCTGCTGCAGGACCACTGGGAATGTTCGTTTTAGCTTTTTTCTTTGCCTGCATGAAATCATCTCTCAGTTGCCTCCATCTTTTTTTGACAGCATCTAAATTGTTCAATAATGGCGTCACTTCATCCCACAATTTTTTTAGCTTCATAGAATGCGGTTCCTGCACTGGAGTGCGGAAATCCCACAATGGTTTACGGGCATAAACCAATGAAATTAATAATTCATCATTTATTACACCAAGAGTTCGCACTTCTTTCGGCACCGCCTCTCCCAATTTACACGTCCGTTACGTTTACATAGCTGGTATGTCACAATAGTTACATTTTCATACCTGCTACATTTCAATGAAAGATCAAACGTATGTTATCTGTTGTGGAGCATGAAAATCAATAAATGAAATATATATGTTTGTTATGTTAACTGTACATCGCCGGTATGTTTTCTGTAACAAAAACACAGTGCATTCCCTAGTAACACTTCGTGACGAGCAATTTTGACACTTGACGAACTCGTGAAGAATTATCGTTATAACGTCCTTTTTATTTAAAATCGTTAACCAAACTGTGACGATAAAAAGTTAGAAAATTATAGTTTAGAATGTAAAGAACATACGATAGACTATCATTTATTTAAAAAAACCGTTTTCGCAACGAATTGCATCCATATATATATATAATATATATATATATATATTATATAAAGTAAGGGTTTTTCGGTGGGCACGCGGGTAGCTGCAGTCGTGCCCCAGGGTTTCTAAATAAAACTTATTTACACACCAGTTTCCTTTTATTTTTGGACACCGTGTATCTACACCACAGAATACAGAATTATTATTTAGTTGGTATCCCTGGTGTCGATACGGTAGTATTCTGCAGTCGGCTATGCCGTTGCCTCGGGTTGCGGTAAAAGGGCAATGGCGGCGATCTCAGGTGTCGAGATGTCGGAGCTGATCGCCTCGGCTCAGCGGTACTCTAATTTGGCGGTAGCTGTAAGTTTATCGATTAGCGGATTTTTATCCGGGAGTTGGTAAGCTATCGATGAATCGGGGTGCGAATGATTGGTGCCGCCGGGTTCTATTTCAGGTGAATGACACCAGCACTTCCGAATACTCGGCCCGTCAGTGCGGTATGGTACTTATGCTAGAGGTGGTACACAGGATGTGACACGGCCACTACCCCCGTACACCACGCTCGAGGTTGAAGCAGAATCAACGGTCGCAAACTGGAGGAATGCAGGTCGAAGGCCCCACAGTTCCCAGTTCCCGTACTTTGACTCGCCTCGTATCTAAGGGACTGGTGATAGTATGGTAACGAAAAGCAAGATGTGACACGGCCACTACCTCCGCTTAACGTTCACAACCTTACGACTAAATCAAGCAAGCGGGAGCTGGCTACATGCGGGTCACAGGCCCCACAGGTATCGAACTTCCGGGTGTTTGAGGGTTCGTCTTTCAAGGACTGGATGATTTCTAATGAATGGCGAGGTTAAGGGTGCAGGGACAGGTGGGTTAAGGATATAAGCGGAACGGAAACGGTATCGAATGCAAACGGGAAATCGGATGAATGATTATCAGTTTCAGGTCTGGATTCAGGTTTTCGGTCATCAAATGACAGGATAGAAGTGTCTTCTAAACTCAAGGGATCCTCCTTTTATACAGCCATGATTAGGACTACGACTAGGAAGTGGAAATGACACTTGATTATGTTATCATTAATGATTAGTTAGCGACATCTATTGATGTCAATGTAGTGCATTTGTAAAGGAGCGTTTACACGCTCCCATAAATAAAGGCACGGGTACATTGTTACCTTACAA